AAAATCATTAAAAAAATATATATTACATTGAAGTTATAAAAAATATTTAATTTTACTTTAGGGTAATCAATTTCTGGAAGTTTGRAACAAACATAATTCCCCGTGATGATAAATTATTAAGTGAAAAAGATTATGTTTGTGAATTACACTTTGAGGCCAATAGCATTATTAAATATGATGAGTTTAATATAACTGAAGGAGTTGTAGAAAAACTGGAGAGGACTACTCCAATTTTATAAAAGGATGCAGTCCCTACAAATTTTCCAGGTCTTCCAAAATATTYACAATCAAGAATGTTTTTTGTATGTGATGCAGAAAACTCAAAACTAGAAAAAAATAAAAAACAAAAAAATTTAGCAAAGCAGTCCAAACTCCTGTAATTGTGTACATAACATATTAACATTGTTAAAATATATAACTCTATAATAAAACTTCCTTAATCGAAACTATTTTAAATGTTACCTAATTGAATAGAATAATTATTTTAAAATAATTCTTACGTGGTTATTGTTTAAAATTTTGAAGTAATAATATAAAAAACGACAAAAATGTTTATAATTTTTGATATTTTAYATTAATAACAATGTATTCACATTTCACAATATAAAAACCGGCCTTCGGGCGAACGGTRGCGCAACCTGCCGGAGACACCAAACTGCCGAGATAATTTGAGACCGGGATATTTACAAGTGGCACAGATTATATAATCTGTGCAAGTGGTGTCGCCTTATCTTCTCTACCTCGTGCTTATATTATATTATTATCTATGATTTTCGTATTGTTCGTGATAGAACATCACTAAGTTCAGAGATAACATCTAAAATCATTTCTAATATCCTTGTTGTGGAACATTAATTTGAACAAGTACAGAAAACAGACTGAATTCATATCATTCTATTCCGATTCAGTGAAGTTTTGAACCGGAGAACTAAAGAAAATCTACTCTGCGTCGTTATTGTAATATAATATATATCTTAACCGTGATAATAAAGAAGTAATTTGTAATTTTAGTGTGCCCTGGCACATTGAAAAGATACCTATCGATTCAGAGTTTTTGCCTAACCTAAATGAATATGTGAGTATATTAAATGTTGTTCTTGTWGATCTATTACGATTTTGCGTCGTGTACTTATCTTTTAATATTTACATTTCAGATTAGAAAAGGCTATGGAACAATTTCTAATTGAAAAACCTTACGAAGAAGTTTGTGAATTACAATTTGAAAATCCAGACAATGAAATAATAATAGAAATATCCGACGATGGAATTTGTGAAGAATTTCAAATTGAAAAACCTGCTGAAAGAATTTGTGAAAATTTACAGATTGAGAACCCTGACAATGAAATAGTAATTATCTCCGATGATGAAATAATTGAAATCCTCGACGACGACGACGACGACGATGTTATTGAAKTTATAAACCTCGTTGACGAYGATGACGWTGTCAACAACTACAACAATGATGACTACAACCAAAATGACGACAACGAAGACGGCTACTATGATGAAATAGAAATTTATGATTCCAATGATGAATTAGAAATTGAAAAAACTGACGGAAAAGGTTCTAAATCAAAAACTAATAATTATGACGATGGATTTTGTGAGTCAGAAGTTGAACACAATGATGGAGATTGTGATTGCAATGATGTAGAATGTGTTGGGTGCTTTTGGCCCTGTGAATCTTGCTCGTCAAACAAATGTGGACATCAATGCCGGTTAGTTAAACATGATAACAATAATAATTTTAGATAAAGAATTGTGTATTTTTAGGTTTTTATTCGTATACTAGAACTAGTATATAATATCAGTGTCTTTGATGATTTATATTTCATCTTGTAAGACAGTGAAATATCACTTTATATTTATACAATTTATGAATTTTAGTTTATAAATTCTTTGTTGCAATTTTGATAGATCTTTAAGAATTATATTAATTTATTCATATATTTTTCAAAATATAATAAACTGTTAAACTGTGATAGTTTTATATTATAACTTAACTACTTATCTAGACTCCAGAATTGTACGCCCTTTAAGATTAAGGTTCAATTGCAACTATGTGACTTACTTTAAAATTTTAAGAAAACAAATTTCAAAAATTATTCTCTTTAAGTCACCAAATAGTTTAACAGTTTAACTATATACTTTTTGAACCTTTCATACTTCTATAACTACTCATGGAATATAAATTATGGTATTAAAGCTAAAAAATATAACAAGAAACATCTATCTATATAAATATATAAGAATAAATTAATTATTGCATACAGATATTTGATGTTTGATTACATAATAATCAAAATTATTTATCCTTTTCACTTCTCACAAGCGCCAAGCACACTTGAGGATACCCCAAGTCAGTRAATAAAATAAACATTTTTTCATTGTATTTTCAATCTAAATCTTTTAAATCTTCATTAACTTGAAAATTATAGTTAAAAAACATAATATTAGCATAATCAAACACAATAAATTATCATGTGTCGCTTATAATTTTGTTGGTAAATTAATAACTGCAGGTTATTGGTATTTGAAACTGGGTTGGGCAGTATAGTCCATACAAGTATCTTAGATACAATCATATCTTGTATCCCAATATATTTGTATTCAAGGTATTGAGTATAAAAGAATTTTATTGAAAAATATTTGATTCATTAATGCAATACAACTTTGCCTTTTTTTATAAATATAATAATAATAACAATAATAACAATAATATTAATTAATATTTAATACAATTTTACTTGTCACAGGTAATTTTCTGTAAGCTGCTGGAAATTATTTTTTAACCCATTACTGAAAAAATCATTATGTATATAGTTATATAGGCATGTGATATATATCATATATAATATATATTGTATATATTATATATTTATACATACCTGCATTGAATGGGAATTTGTTTTATTATTAATGTAATATATTGTATTATATTATAATAGTTTTAGAAAATCTGTGTCCAATTTTATTCAAATGTATCCACACTTATAAAATATCATAATATCGTGGTTTATTTGTTAATATTTATCTTTTTTTCAGTGTCAATCGTGATTGGAAATATCAAGCGTGGCAAAGACAGGGAAGGAAGAGTTTTTAAATTATCTATAATTTGTATATTGGAAATATAACTAAGTACAATCTTACTGTTTAATAATATTGTAAATAAATTTTATATTTTTATCATTCAATAAATTTTTGTTAGAATAACTGAATTTACTGAATACATCTTGGAGTTTTATTCAAACATATAATTGTATAATGCATAATTTTAAGCATTTCAAGTTTTTAGTGTTATTTGTGTTACACACTAATACTAATAAGCATTAAATTAAATTTATTTTACTATTTTATAAATATCTTAATTACAATTAGAATAATTATTACTAAAATACTATGTATATTTTATGATATTATTATGATTTATGTAATTTATTTTACTATTATGAATTATACAATAGAAAGCTAAGTTTAATTTTTCCAAAAAAAAAAAATGAATTAGAAAATATCATTATGTGTATTAAATATAATTATATTCTTATAAATATATTAGTTACTCATGACGTCCGTGAAGTTGGCCCCCCTACTTTGCCCAATCCGCTCCAAAGCTGTGGCAACATTTTGCAACTATTTGCAACACAAATTTGGAAATTTGCAACTCCATACTTTCACCGCAATCAACGATTTACTTTTGGGGGGCCAACTTCACCTAGCCCCCCTACTTTGCCCGATCCGCTCCGAATCTGAGCCAATATTTTGCAACTTATTTGCAACACAATTTCGGAAATTTGCAACTCCATACTTTAACAGCTACAAACATTTTTGTGTCGGGCGGCTAGCCCCCTTACTTTGCCTGATCCGCTCCGAACCTGTGTCAACATTTTGCAACTTATTTGTAGCTATTTGCAACACAATTTTGGAAATTTGCAATTCTAGACTTTAACGACTGAATATTTTTGTGACAAGGACTGGCTAGTAAACATTTCCAAAAATAAACACAATTTTTTCAATACCTATTWYGTAGTTAAATTTATTATTATAGAAGTTCCTATTGACTTAACTAAGATTTTAATAAGAGTTTTATTTTGAACCATTAATTAATGTTTAATTAAAAACACAGAACATTTATGATAGGTAAGACAACCCATA